CTCGAGTTTGTTGCAGCCCCACAGCTGGCGCGCGCTGCCAGGAAGCACCGCTCGCGTGTCGGCGGCACTCCCTGGCACCCAGGGAGTGCCGCGAACCGACCAGACCGAATGGGCTCGACGCCGCGCTCGCTGTGGGGCTGCAACAAAGTCGCCGCCGAGCGTGCCACCGACGGCGTCCCGGCGGAGGTGATGGAGTGTGAGACCTGAGGCTGCGGAGGTGACGCCTGAGGTACCGGGCCGTGCACGGCGACTCAGCCGGCGACCGCCACGGGCTCAGACGAGACTTGTCGACGCGTTCCGGCTCAGCTTCACCGTGGTCCTCGGGCGTCTGTCGACGTCAGGACCACCCATACAGCTCGCGGGTTTGAGGTCGCAAGAGCCAAGATGGTGGCGTTTGGACATCCCAACCATCACACAAGACAGCCTGTAGGTGGTGGCGGGACGGCGCAGTGTTTGTGGCACTCGGCAGTAGGCACCCGCGGCACGGCCCCGCTGTCGGCTCTCGCGGGCTGCGGAACCGGCCCCAGAGGGGGACGGTCCGGGCGAGTGTGGCAGCTCCTGCGCTAGTATGGGCAGCCTCTATCATAGCACTACTGATCCTGGTCATTAGAGCTGCCAGGGATAGCGTCAGGAGCCGGTAGGAGTCAAAACCCCTCATATTTGAGACATCGTGTCCCATATACTCGCAAAACGAGCCTTCGTCACGTCTATCTTTTTAGGTAATAGGTGTTCCCTGCTGTGGAAAAGAGCCAGCGATTGCGCGAAATCTCAGCTCTCCGCTTATCTAGATACGTAACACGTACTGCACTGTGCACGACTCTCCACACCTCCTGCACGCAAATAGCTCTATGGACACATAGAGACACATAACAACGAGCTCCCGCGCCATGTTTTATTGGGCGGCGGCAACGGCAAGCCGTGCGCGCGACAGCTTTACGGCGTCCGCCCTGAGCTGGGTGAGGGCCCCCACCCCTCCCCGGGCGCGTGGGGGTCAGTGGTAGTGGAGCACGCCGTCGTCGAGGGGCGCCGCGAGCTGCACCTTGTCCTTGAAGTGGTCTTGGATGTGGATCTGCCACGGGTCTGCGGCGGAGCGGCTGGGCAGCTGGCGCGCGAAGCCGTCGAGCGCGCGCAAGAAGTAGGTTGGGGTGAAGCCCTCGACGAGGCGGCGGCGCGGCGCCGACACCTCCTCTGGCCGCAGGCGCGGCACGGCGACGGTGGCGCCTGAGCAGCACGGCGCTCGACGGATCATCCCGTGACCCGTCGCCGAGAGGGGGGGGGGGGTGTGGGGGGGGGGGGAAAAAGAGGGGGGGGGGGGGACCCTTGGCGCCCATGTGGTTTAAGAGGCGGCAGGTCCCCTTGTACATGAGCTCGGGGCGCAACGTCCACCCGATGTTGAGGTAGCCCCGCGGGGGCCCCTAATCCCGGGGACTCTCGGGGACTCTCGTGCAATCTCCCGATGTTTAAGGGAGCCCGGCGTGGGCCCCTAAACCCGGGGACTCTCGGGGACTCTCGGGGAATCTCCCGATGTTTAAGGTAGCCCCGGGTGGGCCCCTAATCCCGGGGACTCTCGTGGACTCTCGTGCAATCTCGCGATGTTGAAGGTAGCCCGGCGTGTGCACCTAATCCCGTGGACTCTCGTGGACTCTCGTGCAATCTCGCGATGTTGAAGGTAGCCCGGCGTGTGCACCAGGTTCGGCACGTCGTTGAGCCTGCCGAGGCAGGGGCATCCTCTGGCTCAGTACCGCTGTCGAGACTGCCGGGGGGGCGGCGGAGGCGGCGGAGGCGGAAGCGTCTAAGGAAGGGCCTAGGAAGGCGGTCTGGGAAGGGTCTGGGAAGGGTCTGGGAAGGGTCTGTGAGGCCTGGCGGGTACGGCTTGGGGAGGGTCTCGGAAGGGTCGCGGAAGGGTCGCGGAAGGTTCGCGGAAGGTTCGCGGAAGGGTCTCGGAAGGGTCGCGGAAGGGTCTCGGAAGGGTCTCGGAAGGGTCTCACATTGCTCCGCGGTAGGTGACGTGCTCGCGCAGCTTCATCGGCGTGCCGTCGACGGAGATCTCAATGTTGCCCGGGCTCTGCACCAGCTTGAGGCCGGTCGCAGTCACCACGACGTCGCACTCGATCTCGGAGCCTGTCGTTGTCATGACTGCCAGATTGGTATCACTATTCTTCAGCCTCATTGGTAGACATGCGCACTCGAGCTCGCAGCCTGTTCCAACACTGACGCGACGGTGGAGCAACTGCCCCGCTCCCACCGAGGTGTTGCGGCGGGGGCAGCGACGAGCCGTCGGCAAGCTGCACGCCGCGCGCGGTGAAGCGCTCCAGCGCGCACGTCACGATGGACGCGCCTATAGGAAGGCTCCAGGAAAGGTCCAGGAAAGGTCTAGGAAGTCAGCGCGCACGTCACGATGGACGCGCCGCCCGTGCGCAGCGTCGCCAGGAAGTCGCCGTCGGCGTCCAGACAGACCCGCTGTGTCCACGGGTCGTACTTCGGCGTGAGGTGCGGCCGGAGCGCCGCGAAGCTCGAGCCGAGGTGCGCCTTCAAGCGAAAGGGAAGCCGTCGGGCCTGTGAAACAAAGGAGGACGCCGCGGCGCTCGAGCCGAGGCGCGCGCCCACTGCGCGAGGGCGAAGATAGCCCTCGCCATGCGCGGCAGCTTGAGGCAGAGCGTGTGGAGGAAGATCTCGAACCAGATCTCGGAGTGGCGGTGGATGGCCTGCGGTCAGAGGGGCAGCCAGGGCGGCGGTTAGGGCGGCAGCTAGGGCGGCAGTTAGGGCGGCAGTTAGGGCGGCAGTCAGGTATGGGGAGGTGTGGGGAGGTGTGGGGAGGTGTGGGGAGGTGTGGGGAGGTATGGGGAGATATGGGGAGATATGGGGAGTGTGTGGGGAGGTGTGGGGGGTTTGGGGAGGGGGGAGGAAAAGGAGATTATGGGCAGATTGCTGTGAGATTACGGGGAGATGTTCGCAAGGTAGGGGAGATTGTGGGGAGATTGCGGTGAGACTGTGGGGAGATGTGGGGAGATGGCGGCCTGCATCGCCGCGAGGCCGAGCAGCAGGTGCAGCGGTGCGAAGAGGAGTGTGAGGGCCAGCGAGAAGGAGCGCGGCCAGCACCAGATGTAGGTCGGAGACCGCTGAACCTACGCTCGCGCGTCTCTCGGCGCGTGATCTCCCGCGCAATCTCCCGCGCAATCTCCCGTGATCTCGCGCGTAATCTCGCGCGCAATCCGGCGCGTGAGATCTCCCGCGCAATCTCGCGCGATCTCGTGCAATCTCGCGTACTCTCGCGCCATGACCAGCTTGCGGCACTGCTTGGCGAGGGAAGGGACGATCGAGATGGCCGTCGCCCCCGACCCGACCACGACCACCTCGGGGGAGATTACGGGGAGATTACGGGGAGATTATGGGGAGATCTGGGGAGATCTGGGGAGATACCCCCATACGACCCCACAACCACTTACTGATCCGCAAGGGGCGTGCAACCAACGAAAGATGCAAGCAACGAAGGACTCGCCGGCCGCCGCCCGCGACCCGCCCGCGACTACCGACGGCCATCTCCGCATCTTTCTCCCCATCTTTCGCCCCACATCTCTCCCCACATCTCTCCCCACATCTCTCCCCACATCTCTCCCCACATCTCCCCACATCTCTCCCCACACCTCTCCCCGATCTCTCTCCCCACATCTCCCCAAATCTCTCTCCCCATCTCTCTACAGCGCCCGCCGTCTTGTCTCTCAGGTCGCCGGCCTGCCAGAACTGCGGGTGGAGGATGCGACCCCCGGCGGCCTATCATGCGCGCTGCTGCGTACGAAGAGCGCCATCTCACTGCGGCGCAGGCAGCTCCTCTCGCGCGGCCTCAAAGTCCTCACGGCCGGGGAAGCGGGCCAGCTCCTCTACGCCCGCCCGCTCATACTCGTAGTACCCGGTGCAGGCAATCACGAAGCTCGCCTTGTGGGGGGGAGGGAGAGGGAGAGAGAGAGAGAGCTCGGGCTTGAGTTGGGGTGGGTGGTCGTGCCTGTGCAGGCAGCCGCAGCGCTCGCCTCGACGCGCTCGCGCCGCGCGCCGTTCTCGACGTCGACGTCGAGGGCCCAGACGCGCGCCGTCGAGTCCCACGACATGGAGGTGACCTTGCGGTGGTACAGGATCCGCCTGTCGAGCCGGTTCTCCTCCGCCACCTGCCGCATGTACTCGAGGATCTCGCGGCCCTCGGCGAGGTGCGTGTATGGCTTGTACGGCTTGAAGCCAAAGCCGAAGCAGATCATCGGCGAGTCGGAGCGGATGCCCGGGTACTTGAACTGGTCCCACGTCCCGCCGAGCGACGCGCGGCCCTCGAGGATGGCGTACGAATGGTCAGGGCACTCGGTCTGCAGCCGGTACGCGGCGCCGAGGCCGCTCAGCCCGGCACCGATGATCACGACGTCGAGGCGCTTGGATGGGATGGGGTACGGGTTCTCGGCCATGGTCTGTGGTGGCGCAGACCGCGGTTCGGGCGCAGAGGAGGCGGGGCGGTGGACGGTGAGCGGCGCACGGACCGGGATAGGATGGTGGCAGCCGCAGGGCGCGCCACACAACCTGCGGAAGCTCGAGGTGGCCCGGGCGCCTCAGTGGATTGACGCAGCGAGCGATCTGTGGTGATCGGCATCGTTTTTTCTTTTTTCGCCCCTGCCCCTGCTTTGCGATTGGTTTTCTGGTCCGCGTTCGTTTTTCGTCGACGCCGCCATGGCTGCCGAGACGGCGCCGCCATGATGGACGACTGAGGACGCGCGGTTTTCTTTTTGACGCTCTCTTCCTCGAGGGCGAGTTAGGGCTAGCAGTAGGCGGCTAGCCTGTGAGGAGAGCGTCCATAGACACCTCACATGACCCCACACACGGTCTCGTCCATGCCTTGCGGCTGGCGGCGAGATTGCTAGAGGCAGAGCAAGCCTGCTCTAGTCTCACATGTTACTTCCTGTTGTCTGTTGTTTGTTGTGCCCTTCGATCGGTCACACCGCCATCGCCGTCGGGGAGAGGGGGGACGACACTGCTTCGGCAGCGTGCACCTCGATCCTGTACCGTGTTTGTTATGACCCCCCCCAATGAACACACCAGTGAGGGAGGGCGAGACGATCGAGGGGTCCCGTACCATGCGGAACCGACCCTATCCAGTGCTCAAGTGCTCAACACGGGCCCTTGGAGCGGGGCTTGGAGCACTTGGAGTACTTGGCTGCTTTTACTTTCCCTAAAAGCTCCGCATGTCTCCCGGGACGGCCGCTATGCACACATCGCAGGTTCGTGCAGTGATGTCGCTGGCGCTCGCCGTCTGCGTACACGCGACGTCCTCAAAGTGCAAGCCATTCTGTGAGGACAAGACGCACGATTGGGATGACAAGTGCACCTGGGGGGGCTGCTCCGGCTGCACCGAGTGCTCTGCGCCGGTGTGCAAGCCGTTTTGTGTGGACAAGACGCATGCCTGGGATAACAAGTGCACCTGGGTGGGCTGCAACGGCTGCACCGAGTGCATCGTCCCTGAGCCGGAATGCAAGCCGTTTTGTGAGGACAAGACGCAGGGCTGGGATGACAAGTGCACCTGGGGGGGCTGCAACGGCTGCACCGAGTGCTCTTCCCCTCCGCCAATGTGCAAGCCGTTTTGTGATGACAAGACGCAGGACTGGGATGACAAGTGCACCTGGGGGGGCTGCAACGGCTGCTCCGAGTGCCTGACCTCGCCGCCGTCGGCGCCGCCCCCCACACCGCCGCCTCCGACGCCACCACCGCCGTCGCCCCCAGCGGTGTGCAAGCCGTTTTGTGAGGACAAGACGCAGGGCTGGGATGACAAGTGCACCTGGGGGGGCTGCAACGGCTGCACCGAGTGCTCTTCCCCTCCGCCAATGTGCAAGCCGTTTTGTGAGGACAAGACGCAGGGCTGGGATAACAAGTGCACCTGGGGGGGCTGCAACGGCTGCTCCGAGTGCGGCGCCTAGCCCTCGCCGCCGCCGCCAGCTTCGGCTGGCTGGCACAGGTGAGTAATGAGTAGGCGGAACCGCAGTGTGCCGAGTTAGAGACTGCTGTAACCTGTATATTTCAGTGAGAGGTGACAGGTGATTGTGGTTTGTGCGTGTGCGGCGCACTGCACACACAATCACAAATCACACGCTCAGCAAAACCCAGGCCAAATTACTTTCTTTTAACAACGCCAATTTGGGCGCACATGCTTCACAGATCACACACCTGTGACACTAAGGATGCCTTCCCTCCCTTTGCCGGCGCCTTCTTGGGTCGGGCCCTGCGGGGCCCTCACCCAGAAGAGCTTCACCTTGTCGGCGCCGTAGCCGTTGCGCATCGGCGAGTCGACGAGCTCGACCGTGAGCCCCGCCTTGCGCATCGCGTCCTGCAGGAGGGACCAGACGGGCGACGTCGACGACGGGGTTAGTGCACTGTCAGACCCGCCAGGACCCCGCTGCAGTGAGGCCGCAGGGCGGGGCGCTCCCATCACCCTCCTACGGCTAGAGGCGGGGAGCCTTCTCTCTCGGCTCGTCTAGTCGCGTCCTGCAGGCTGGCGAGCTCATTCGGCCGCCGCTCGCTCGCCGAGAGCAGGCACGGCACCCTCGCCGCCTCGATGGTCTCAAAGAGCACCGGCCACGCGTCGCGATTGTACCTACAAGGGCGAGCGGCGGCGGAATGGGCGGCGGCGGCGTGGGCGGTGGCGGCGGCGGCGTGGGCGGCGGCGGAGGTGGTTGCTCTGGCGATAGGAGGTGGTTGCTCTGGCGAGGGCGGCGGCGGCGAGGGCGGCGGCGGCGTGGGCGGCGGTGGCGTGGGCGGCGGCGGCGTGGGCGGCGGTGGCGTGGGCGACGGCGGCGAGAGTGGCGGCGGCGAGAGCGGCGGCGAGGGCGGCGGCGCACGTGACGTCAGCGCCGATGACGACGTCCCACGATTGCGCGAGGGGGCTGTCGGCCGCTTCGGGCCCCGGCCTTCCCCAGGAGAGCGACGCCGCCGAGACCGTCCCGCCGACGCCGTTCGCCCGCGCGTTCTGCGCCGCCAGCGCAAGCACCTTTCCGTCGCGGTCTGTCGCGAGCACGCGCGCCGCCCCCAGCTTTGCTGCTGTCACCGATCCCAAGCCTGTGCCGGTGCCTAGCTCAAGGACGCGCTTGCCCTCCCAGAACGCGCTGCCGAGCTCCTCCATGTACCGGCTCAGCACGATGCCGCCGCCCCAGACCGCGCTGCCTACACCGAGAGAAGAGGCGCGCGCTGTGCAATACCATCGAGAGGGCCGCCGGCGCCCGGGTGACGGAGGGTGGCGCCGGTCGACGCCTCCCACATGTTTGCCTTGGTCATTGTCTGCCGGATGAGCAGCGGCGGCGCGCCCGGCCGCCAGAAGACGCGGCGAGGCAGCAGCGAGCAGTCGTTCCAGTCGTTGACCTCGTTGAACTCGGGGTAGAGAGCCTCGGTGCACGACGGCGACACGGCCTTGAGCGGCTCGTACAGCGGCTGCAGCAGCCGCACCGCCGCAACCGCCGCCGGCGGCACCTCGTCGACTCCGAGCAAGTCGGCGAGCTCGTCGCCGGTGTTGTCGAGGACGCCGAACAGGCCGTTGGCCACCACGACTCCGCCGGCGGCGGCGGCGAGCGCGGCGGCGCCCACTCGCCGCAGCGGACTGCCGCCGCCGGCGGCCGACATCGCCGGAGAGGAGCAGCGGGGACGCACGCTTCGGCGCGCCTCGGCCGCCGACCGCTTGACGGCGCCAGCGTCCCCTGCCGACAGCAACATGCACGGCCCCGGGCAGTCGGGTCCTTCGCAGACCACGACTCGGCCAGGCGGGCATGCGCCGCTGCAGCCGACGCCTCGGACAGCCATCTGGGGCGGAGGCGAGAGCGAGAGCGCCGTCAGCAGCGCTGCCGCGCCGTGGGAGGAGCAGCGGCGACCCGTACAGACGGTGAGCATCGAAGGGGTGTGTCGCTTCGAGCCGGGCCGCGCCGCCTCCTCTCGGGCCTCCTCAACCCTCCGAAGCGCGCAAGATGACGGGCTGCCTTCGTGCCGCACAAGAAAAAAGAATTCGCCGCGCTCCAGGGTAAACGTCTCTCGCTTCATTCCGTTCCCCGCAGGGTCTGCTCTACAGCTCGCCGAGCTCGCGGGAGGCGCACCTGGAACTCGACCGTCCATCGGCAAGTTTGCGTCATGGTGGACCTTGCAAGGCTGGCCGAGCTGAAGAGTCAGCTTGCCGACGGCACGCTGACTCGGGAGGAGTTTGAGGTGCTTGAGCAGGAGGCGTTGCAGGCGGACGGCACCGACCGGGGCTCCGACCGCGGGTCAGACTGCGCCTCGGAACGCTCCGCCTCGCCAGCGCCAGCCATCGGCGTGCCTGTGTACGGGGCAGCCACTGGCAGCGCAGTGCTGGGCACACACGGAAACTCCACGCACGTGGGAGGAATGGAGACCACTGATCCGCTGTCTGCTATAGCCGCAGCCACTCCCAGCTACTCGGTGTGAACAGAGTTCGTACGAGATCCCTCGAGAGTTCACGCGGAGTCGGCTGGGGCTATACCAGACAGCTGATCCGTCCGCCGCGCCAACAACTGACGGTAACGACCCGCACCAGCTCATTTCCGAGAGGCTCTCGCGTGCACGGCTGAGTGTAGCATCAGCAGTTTCGAGTCTGTCGTCGTCGCCTTTCGAGATCACAAACAGGATGTGCAGCAGCTCGAGTCCCTGCATCTTCACAAAAGCCAAGCACTCAACGTCGAGGAAAAACCACTCGTTTGGCCGCATCCAGAACGCCAGCCCCAGCGACAGCACCGCCGCAAAATTCACGTCTCCCGCGTTCGTCACTGATAGCGTCGCAAGCAGCGACGCCACTGTCACCGGGCACAGCGCCGCCGCCTTGAAAGGTCGGTTCGAGTCGAGTCGCACACTGCACACCTTCCGCAGCGCCCAGATCGTGTCGTACCAGTCCGGGTCGTACTGCGGCGCCATCACGCGCCAAACTCGCGAGTAACCGCTGAGCCCGTCGAGGAAGGTCTTCACGTACGCCATGCCGTAGTACCGCTCCCCTGCCTCCGCGCCCTTGGTGTGCACCGCCTTCCTCCCCTTCGCTGCAAACGATGCTGTCCCGTCCACATGGTCGCACACAAACCCTCCCAACGGCACCAGCCTGTTCGCCACCATCGCCAGGTACAGAGCCACCAGCCGCGGGTCGATAGCTGTCCCTGCGCCCTCGCTTCCGTCGAGCGGCGGGTTGTGCCGCCATCCGCACGGGTAAAAGCACTGCACAAACGTCGCAAATGTCGCCAGCCACGCCGTGTGCTGGCGGTAGTTTGATGCCGCCCTCGCCACGATCGCCTTGCGACCCTGCTCCACCGCCACGTCATCCAGCAGCGCCTTGTGCTCCGCAGTCACCGTGTTGCCGTCGGCGCCGTCTCTCCTCGCCATCTTGACGACGGAGTCCGTCATCTTCTCCAAACCCGCCGCCAAATCGGCAGCAGTGCCAGCCCCGGCAGCCGTCTTTCGCTCCTTTCGTCGAGCCACAACGTATTTGTCCGGACCGTCGAGGCGGGCAGCGAACACTCGTTCGAGCATCGTAGACGACGCCCTCACCGGCGCCCCCGCGTCGTCGTTGGCTTTGTTCGCCGCCTTGT